AAATATACAGGTGGCGTTGAAAAAAAAAAAAGTTTTCATTAACCCGAGGCAACAAATATACAGGTGGCATTGAAAAAAAAAAAGTTTTCATTAACCCGAGGCAACAAATATACAGGTGGCGTTGAAAAAAAAAAGTTTTCATTAACCCGAGGCAACAAATATATAGGTGGCGTTGAAAAAAAAAAAGTTTTCATTAACCCGAGGCAACAAATATACCGAGGCAACAAATATACAGGTGGCGTTGAAAAAAAAAAAAGTTTTCATTAACCCGAGCAACAAATATACAGGTGGCATTGAAAAAAAAAAAGTTTCATTAACCCGAGGCAACAAATATACAGGTGGCGTTGAAAAAAAAAAGTTTTCATTAACCCGAGGCAACAAATATACAGGTGGCGTTGAAAAAAAAAAAGTTTTCATTAACCCGAGGCAACAAATATTACAGGTGGCGTTGAAAAAAAAAAAAGTTTTCATTAACCCGAGGCAACAAATATACAGGTGGCGTTGAAAAAAAAAAGTTTTCATTAACCCGAGGCATCATATTCAAAATGTTCTACTCTTATACATTTATAAACATGTGTCTAAGAACACTAGTATGAGGATTGCTATCATTGCTAGGCATTGCATGTGAAAAGGGAAATTAAAGGACACCTGTAATGCAGTAGCCTTAGCCTTAGCCTTCCGTTTATGCTCCTCTTCTCTGCAACCAACAACCACAAAAAATTGCAATTCAGCATCAACCCCACACAATACAAAACATTCACATTGTAATATCATGGTTATAAACCAAGTACACACACACACTGCATACATACATACACACACTGCATACATACATACACACACTTCATACATACATACACACACTGCATACAGTGCATACACACACTACATACACTACACACACACACTGCATACACTACACACACACCCTGCAAGTACACACACACTGCATACACCCTGCATACATACACACTGCAAACACACTACACACACACACTGCATACATACACACTGCATACACCCTGCACACACACACTGCAAACACACTACACACACACTGCATACATACACACTGCATACACCCTGCACACACACACTGCAAACACACTACACACACACACTGCATACATACACACTGCAAACACTACACATATACACACACTACATACACTACACACACTACATACACTACACACACACACTGCATACATACACACTGCATACACACTACACACACACACTGCATACATACACACTGCAAACATACACTGCAAACACACTACACACACACACTGCATACATACACACTGCAAACATACACTACACACACACCCTGCAAGTACACACACACTGCATACACCATGCACACACACACTGCAAACACACTACACACACACACTGCAAACATTACACATATACACACACTACATACACTACACACACACACTGCATACATACACACTGCATACACCCTGCACACACACACTGCAAACACACTACACACACACACTGCATACATACACACTGCAAACATACACTGCAAACACACTACACACACACACTGCATACATACACACTGCAAACATACACTACACACACACCCTGCAAGTACACACACACTGCATACACCCTGCACACACACACTGCAAACACACTACACACACACACTGCATACATACACACTGCAAACACTACACATATACACACACTACATACACTACACACACTACATACACTACACATACACACTGCATACACCCTGCACACACACACACTGCAAACACACTACACACACACACACTGCATACATACACACTGCAAAACATACACTGCAAACACACTACACACACACACACCACTGCATACATACACACTGCAAACATACACTACACACACACCCTGCAAGTACACACACACTGCATACACCCTGCACACACACACTGCAAACACACTACACACACACACTGCATACATACACACTGCAAACATACACTGCAAACACACTACACACACACACTGCATACATACACACTGCAAACATACACTACACACACACCCTGCAAGTACACACACACTGCATACACCCTGCACACACACACACTGCAAACACACACTACACACACACACTGCATACATACACACTGCAAACACTACACATATACACACACTACATACACTACACACACTACATACACTACACATACACACTGCATACACCCTGCACACACACACTGCAAACACACTACACACACACACTGCATACATACACACTGCAAACATACACTGCAAACACACTACACACACACACACTGCATACATACACACTGCAAACATACACTACACACACACCCTGCAAGTACACACACACTGCATACACCCTGCACACACACACTGCAAACACACTACACACACACACTGCATACATACACACTGCAAACATACACTGCAAACACACTACACACACACACTGCATACATACACACTGCAAACATACACTACACACACACTCTGCAAGTACACACACACTGCATACACCCTGCACACACACACTGCAAACACACTACACACACACTGCATACATACACACTGCATACACCCTGCACACACACACTGCAAACACACTACACACACACACTGCATACATACACACTACAAACACAATACATACATACACACACTACATACACTACACACACACACTACATACACTACACACACACACTGCATACATACACACTGGCAGTGTAACAACTTCTCAGGACCATGACAAAATAAAATGATATAACTACACTACACACACACACTGCATACATACACACTGCATACATACACTCTAGTCAATTTGTTTATGCATAACGCATAGCAAAATGATATAACTACACTTCATCACAAAAAATCAGATAAGCTTCGAACTGCATCAGCAAGCAGATTGATTGAAAACTAAAATCAAATTCATTGAAGGCCCGTGAATTACATGTTCAAAGAGTCATTTCGGCAAAAATGTAATGAAGTTGTACTTTGTAGTCGATATAGAATTCCCCTGGAACAATTGAACGCATAATAATTAAAACCGAATACAAACAAAATGAAGTAAGATTTAAAGTGGCAGATAACAGAACATAGATTACATATCCTACACGTTTATACTAATAAACTTGTTGATGGCACATGGTGGAGGTAAAACAAAATCCTGAAAACATCCACTGTGCTAGAAACATATTCTAGATTCTGAGAAGGCCATATCCTAATATTCTGTTCTACGATCCAGATGAAAGAAAGGCAGGGCACTCAAGAACTAAAGAGAAATTATTCATTATTTAAGTTGGGTTAGTTCTAAACATTGAAAGGCAGCCAATATTTGAAGAACCTAATAACTTGTACCAATTTATATATACAAAAATCGGGGTATATATAAAAATCACTCACAGAATCCAAAGAGTAGTAGTAACATAATTCAATGTAATTCCTCTTGCAAAGACACCAACTTTTCGCAACAATGAGATTAAAAACCAAATCAACCAACTATCAAAATCCAATGAGTGGTAAACAAGCTATACATTATGCAAAATAGGCAATCAAACGGCCAAAAAACAGCCACAAAATCCAACCTTTTTGCACAGCTTGAGACGTTTCCGCCGCAATGCCTCTCCTTGCTTCTGCTCAGCTTCCCTTCTCCTCTTCTTCTTCCTCTTGTGAAACCCAGACACGAAATTGCTTCACAAAATCCAAACAAGCAAAGCATCAAAACCCGAAAAATCAAAAAACCCAATTCAGAAAACGCGAAAAGAAACAAAATTTCAGGGCTTAGATTTCATCACTGAGCAAATTTTGTGATGGCGGTTTTTACTACCTGAGGATTTGAAAGAAAAGTTGAAATATGAAAACCCCAAATTCTAATCTTAATTTGACCTAAAAATCAAAACCCTAATTTGTTCAAGTGCAGAGGTCTATCATTGAAAATTTCTCAAACCCAAAACAACAAAATCAAATGAAGCTCAGTAATACCACGATCTGCAAAACAAATTGACGAAATAAAGCGAAGATGCGAAGTTTACCAGACAAGTCGGAGCAGATGAGGGCGAGCAGATGCAGATGAGGGAAGGCGCAGAGATCAGAATGAGGAAGATGACGATGAGGGAGCAGGGCAAGGACGACGATGAGGGAAGACGCAGCGATGAGGACGAGCGACGTAGGTTCTTGGATGAGTGACTCTCTCGCGGCTTTCTCTCAGGGCTTACGAGTCCTCCCGAAACTGGGGTTCCTCGTTAAGAACGCGTAAGGAGGTGAATAATCCGAGCGAGTCCGACCTAAGGTCATTAAAACTAATCCTGCTACAAACCAAACAATGGACTATAGTCTAGTCCAGTCCAGTCATCCCTAGTCCTGTCAAACAAACGGCCCCTAAGGACACTCCCATTAAAACTAATATTTTTTTAAAACAAGTATATTTGTTTTAAATCCCTAAATGGCGGTGATGGAAATTCCTAAATAGAGACTCGCATTGGAGATGCTCTAAGTTAAGTCAATCGTTTGAAACAATTTGAATCTTACTTGGGAGACGCACATTCGCTTTTTTAACAGAGGACTAAAGAAAAATTTGGTTTGGAATAAAATTGTTAACTAGTCTCACCTCATATATTTAATTTACAACTTTTTCACCATAAATGTCGCATTAAAATCATTGTCTCTGCATGGACCATGATTAAAATTAGCCTACAGCGATTATTTGCCTATCCAGTCAAGGTGTAAACAAATGGACTCAGTAAGACAAGGAAATTATTTGGGAAGTGCTTTTAAATACTGAAAGCATTTTTAGAAAAAAATGATTTTGTATTTCAAAAATACTGAAGTGTTTTTTTTGCAAAAAACTCCTGCTTTTCCAAGTTTCATTTTTTATTTTCACTAGAGATTGATTAGAAACACAATTTTCCCTACAAATGCTTTAAGCCATTTAAAAGCACTTCCCAAAAATGACCAAGGTTTTTTAGAACCACAGAGAATTCATAAATAATTGTGATTAATTTCTTGTCCAGCCAAACAATGACGATTAAATCACCAGTAATATGAGCCACAACATACATAAGTACTCTGGATTTTTGCGTAATTTGCCCTTCATCGTTGATCAGTAATTCAGTATACAAAAACACAGCCAAAACACAAGTTCTAACATTTTTTCTTCCATCCGTCCTTCGAGTTACCGAAGTTTTTTATGGCGAAACATGCTCCGTCCAAATGTCGATCGGACCATTTGGATAAACAAGGGAAGCTGCTGCAAGGCAAAAAGAGTCACCGGAAAACATGCCAGCAAAGTGATTGGGGTGGAAACCCAATTGAATTTGTTGCTGAGCACAATCGAAAGGGTTGCACCGAAGGCTACCATAGTGGCGGCTATGGCAAAGAAGAGGGTGGCCAAACCGATTATCAACCGCCTTGGTAGTGAGTAGAGGAAATCTTCTTCAGCATAACGTGCGGTTAGGATTGATAGAAACATCAAAAGGGAAGTTAAAGAAGAAAATAGAGCTACTGCATCCGAAACAACAAACACCATGAATATGACCGACTTCTTCTCTAAGAAATTTGGAGCTCCTTCGTTGTCATTACCTCCAGGTACTGTAAAAGCAGCAGCAAACACAACTGTGGCAATGAGAGTTGCTACGAGCATGCAAGAATTTGATGTATCCTTTAGCCATTTCTCTCCACTCTCAGCCAATGCTTTGTGCTCCTTGGTGAATAATTCCCTAGCAGTTTCTTCGTTTTTGTTCCGGCTCTCCTTATAATAAGGGTGAACTATTTTCTCCACCATCTAAACATACAAAATAAAAGAATTATTAAGAATGTCAAACATGAGCAAATACTAACAATTGATAAATTTTGCGAGTGAACACCTTAAACCACTGCAACTCTCTCTGCATTTGTAGAGCTGCACCGGAAATTGATGAGAGTTGGGGAAGAGGAGCCAACTTTGCTGCCAGATGCAAGATGGTATCCCTCGATTCAGGTAGTGCAGTAGCCATTAATTTACTTCGTGCAGTCTTATCATACACAGCACGAAAAAGATGTTCATGCCGAAGCTCAATAGCAGAGGGGAGTAACAAATATTGGTCGGTGCTGTTCTTGCAAACCCATATTAGATGAGGAAAAGATTCTAGGAGCGTTCTTATAATTTCAACTATTCCATTAACGGTGGCTATGTACAGTATATCTGATTTCAAAAGACGATTGAAACGCCAAGAAATATGCGTTTGTGAAAGTTGAAAGCAAATACGTTTTACCAGTTCAAATGCATAGTGATGACTAAGTTTTGCATCGTGGAGTCGCGTGAATTGATCTGGTGCTGCAAATTAAAAATGTGAAGATGTGGGTGAAAGGCATCCAGCAGTGGTAAATATGGTAGGGTAAGGTTTCAAATCGCACCTATTCGTTTAATAGCTCCAAAAAGTGTTCTTCTTAACCCGTGAAGAACTGCAACAGAGAACCAAACCAAGCAAGAAGTGTCAATTATGCAGATTGATACCTGACAATTCCTTTCGGAGTAACATGACTGGTTTCATCTCTAAGTGGTCACTAAAACCACGAATGTGATTTGACAAATCCATTTTTCTTTCATACTATGAACTTTAAAAATAGACGAGGTTCGATTATTTTCATTTAATAGGCAGTACAACTATAGCGGTACGACAATATTTGGCTGTAGGGTACACTTCCTTTGGCTCCTTATTCCTATTCAAACGTATAACATTTAGAGCTCACAATCTACACCTTCAGTCAATGTGAGTTCCAAAAAATTATGAAAATAAAATTCAAAAAGGTGTAATTTTACTCCAGAATCACCTAATTACATCTTTTCACTGCAACCCCTGTTTTTCCTTTCTTTTATCCAACCAAAAGAAGATAGAACTTTGCCTAATATCGTTGTACTATAGAGGTAAACCTCATCGTCGTTTTTTCTCACATATGATAAAAAGCTGACAATAGTTAAACAACAAATTAATATAGAAATCGCAAACCCTGACCTCCATACTGTTCTGGTGTTGGCATTGCCAGAAGGTTTTGGATGTTTCCATGGTAGCAAGCCACATCGGCTCTCACTGAGTGTGGTGGTCTGGAGTGCACTTCAACTGGGAGAACTGAAACCAAATGGAAAATAATAAGCAACCTCTTTAAAATCAGTACGATAAACAAATTGAACAAGTAAGCAGGAAAATGTTAAAGTTGAAAATGAGACGAGGGTCTTAACATGAGTAAATGCAGCTTTCCCAGAAGCCAAGCCTGCTGCCACTGAGGAAGTATGACTGGTTGCTTGCCAAAACATATAAAGGAGTACAATCTTCTTGATCAATAGCAATGGCCAACTCAGGATATAGATGAAGCAGATACAGTGAAATTTCTGTTGCAGAAAATTGTAAGCAATCAAATTATAATGATAGGATTAGCAAAAAGGAACATGTTCCACATTGTGAGTGGTTTTTACCAAGGAAACCGGAGGCGATAAGCACATTGACAAGGTTAGCAGCCCAATCACCAGTGAAAGGACGACCAGGCGCCTCATCAGTAGTTACCAACAAGAAGTACCACATCAATTCCTTATTCTCAGATGCGAGAGTGGCAGCTAGGAGCAACGGAGTTCTTCCTTTGGCATCTACACATTGTGCCAACTTTGGATTTTCCATCAACAAGCCTTGGCAGACCTCGGGCTTCCACCTATTGCAGCATAGTGAAGCGGTGTGAATCCCATTTTGTCCTGCATTTCGAGGACATCACTAGGAACACGTTTCACTAATTTCTCAACGAATTCGGAGTGCCCTTCACTTGCAGCAACATGCAGTGCAGTCATTGATAAATCTGAGATCCTAGCTTTCGCAGCATCTGGATCACTGTCCAGAAACTTGCTAGCCGCTTCCCAATTGCCACTAAATGCAGCACGGTAGAGTGGCAGGTACTGATCCAAGTTCACTTTTTTCCACCATATTTGCAAGAATCATTTACTGGGTTCAGTTAAAAACTCTCACCCCACCAAAAAGATGGAATCTTTTACGTGTGATTTAAGCATTATATATGCAGTAGAAGTAAAATCAAAATATGGGTAATTAGCAGCAGTACAGTACAATACAGTAGAGTAGTTTTCAATTAATCACTTGCTGGGTTCAGTTAAAAGTCCTCCACCCCGCAAAAAAAGATGACATCTTTAAGCATCATTTGAGAGTTACATGGCCGTAAAAGTAAAATCAAAACATGGGTAATTAGCAGCTTACCTTCTTGACCATCGCTGTCATGCTGGGTAGGAATAGACCAAGTTGCAGAAGTTGCTGGGTTTCCACCAGTTTTGAGATAAGGACTGGTAGGGGGATTTCCCTCCACATCGAGTGTAATTACCCTGTCTGGAATTGCCATTGATTCAGTGTTGTTTGTGTGTGAATTTTTCTGCTGCAATGTCTCGTTTGGTTCTGCGACGAGCCCAAATATTAGAGGAAAGATGCTTACTCTCTACTTCGTATTCCGGTAAAGGGAAAAGAGAAAATTGTAGAAAAGCACCTTCGTTTGACGAAGGAAATCCAAGTCTTTGAGAGAGAGAAAAGCATTTTAACAAAGAGACGTCAACATCTTATATTAATTTTAATCATCATAATTAAGTTATGTTAAGTCACGTCAATAATTTTTTTTTTATTTGAACGATCACGGTTAAACCACGTCAATATTATAATAAGAGAAAAATAAAATAAAAAAATGTAAGAGATGGGAATGAAAGGAAGAGAATCATAGTCCCTCGATCAGACTTTCCAATCACCTTCAAAGAAGTACCTTAACTTTAAAAAAAAAATGACACCGAGCATTTCTGAGTCCGTTCTTCGGAATCAGCCGCTTTATATTCGGTTGGGTTTTATCCGTAAAGTTTTTATTCCTGGGTAATAGAATAGAAGCCTAAAGATTTACGAACTAATTTATGTTTTTTAATTAAAATTTCTTAATATATCAAAACTTACAATTATAGTCATTTTCATCAATTTCGTTACAATTTCATTAAAATGAGTCATTTTGAAAAGATTATTGCTACAATTAGGTTAAAGTTAAAGGTTCATTACTCAAATTGGATTAAACTTGATGGACTATTGCCACAATTTTTATCATTTGATTTTTCACATTTATACACATTTTGACAGAGTTCTAATGAAGTTGATGAAAAAGACTATAACTGCATATTTTGGTGAGTAAAAGGGGGTCAAAAATTTAGTTAAGTTACCATTACTCCGATTAAATTAAAATCAAGAGATTGTTGCTACAATTTTCTTAAAAAATAAATAAAAACACAGAAATTCGTGTATATATTGTTAGTCCTTTCACCTTTTTCTTTTTCTCTCTTTTTCTTATTGCTTTTTTTCCAGACAACTTTAGTTTTTTTCTGCTTTTTCTACGTTCATTTTAACATTCCATTCACATTTACCTCCTTATTTGCCCTTTAACTTTTAAGCAACGGTAACTCTTACCTTTTCGTTAACTGAAGAGGGTAAAAGGTGATAATTTACCTCTACCTCGTCTCTTGAAGTGGAAAACTAACGACAGTCTAACCAACTCTCACATTTAAATAAGAAAAGCATGAGAACCAAAATATGAAAAATCTCATACTGATAACCGTTACATAAGTTAAATTCACTTGAAGATGCTCTTACAATATTTATTATCTCTTTGAAGCGATTTTATAAAAAAGCAGTTCCCATGTTCTTTCCAAAAATAATTACAACCCTCCGAGAATCATTTTCAAATGAGCCCTTAACACGTCATTCCCATAACGTCTTTTTTTTCGGGTTGAATCCCATAGAACAGGTTCCTTAATTTCCAATTTCCTTTACTTGTCTAGCTGATACTTTGGGTTGTTGAAAAATGAAAATACCAGATTTCTAGTTAAAGAAAAGCTAAAGATACAAATTCTCCATCCACCGAAAGTGCAAGGAAGAAAAGCATTCGTCTTGATTACTATGAAACGACTACCAAAATATCCATCTTTCCACTGTTTGATTACAGATACAGGAAAACGCTGCATTTCCTTTACAAAAGTTGATGGATTGGCTACAGAATGTTGCGACAATGACCCGAACAGGTGATTAAATTCAACAGACTGAGGAATAACGCAGTGGGCCTTCGTGAGGATTAAGCGCCTTGAGATGTTCTAGTATCGGAGAAAATTTCAAGCCAATAATTCTCACCTCTGGATTTGAGTGTCCATCCAGAAAAGTATCTGTGATCTGCAACGAGCACCATTCGACATGACTTATCATGCCACAGATTGTCAAGACACGATACAAAATTAGAACACTGATCACAGTTTGTAAGTACCTGAGTGCATCCAAGAAGTTTTAGTATCCTCAGTGATAGGCAGCTGTCCACAATTAAACCCAGGGCCTCATCTGTCAAATTCCGGCACCATGATAGATCTAGAGTATGCAACATCCTTGAACGTTTGGCAAGTGATATGGCTGTGTTGTGGCCGACCTGAAAAGAACCCAATCCGTATTCATAATGTAAGAACAACTAACTAGTTATGGCTATGTAGACCAGGGTCTCAATCAACCTCTGGCCTACTGCTCAAGCAAGTGGTGAGCAGATTATCAGTCAAACCCCAACTTTGGCTCGTGCAATTTAGCAGACATAAATTATCGACAGTGTGAGTGCGCGTGAGTTTGGGTGGGTGCACACACAAACTCACTGCGAATGTGTGTATTCTGGTCCTCATACAAGATGTGACTCTGTGTGTGTGTGTGTGTGTGTGTGTGTGAGAGAGAGAGAGAGAGAGAGAGAGAGAGAGAGAAAAAGTTTTACCATCTCAATATGATTTAGTGAAAGTTCCTGTAAGCATTCTCCAGAAGTTTCCAGGAATGCAGCAATGGCTTCATCACTGTCACACAGGGAATAGATTGTTCTGTAAGTGTGCCTATTTTGTGCATTGAGCACCAAAATGAAACTAAAATCACATCAGCATATAACAGTAAAAATATATCAGGTTCTATTAACGACTCAACGGGGGTCGAAAATCCAACCTAGAAAATTTATCAAGGGTCAGCGCAATTAAGAACTACTCCATTAAGTCTCATACCAAATTAATTAGTCACGTGCACTCTGTCTAAACAGGACTGAGTACCAGCATTGCAATAATCTCTAGCAAAAACAAACTAAAAATCATATCTACTTTGATGGAAAAAGAATAAAATTAAACCTATTCATTAAGGAAAGCACCTGAATGGATTCCGTCGAAAATTTAATGTTTGAATTGCTCGGCAACCATTTGCAAGATATCCTAAAGTAGAATCAGTCAATTTGTTCAAGTTAGCAAGGTCAAGTGCACATAATCCCGAACAGGTTTCAGCTATCACTTTCACAGAAGAATCTGTCAATTTTCTGCACAAAATAAAAAGCAACCCGCATAAGTAGAAAAACAACATATAATTGAGGAACAAATGAGAGAATTTATTGCAAAAGTTGTGCACTAAGAAGTGTTAGAAAGACTTACACACAATCAGTCAGAACAAGCTCCTTCAAACTGTGACCACGAGCAGTGATAAATTCCCTAATAAAATTGTCGCAAACATTTTCGAAGCCTGCTAGCGAGAAAACCTCCAAACGCTCAAGCTTCTTCAGTTCTGGTAGCATAAGCATAGCATCAATGCCTTGGCAATCATTTAGATATAGTTCCTTCAGAACTGATCCCAATGAGTCAGCTAAAGTGCCAATACTCGAGTAAGTGAGAAGAGAGCACTGGCTGAGGTTTAGAGATCTTAGTGCAGGGGCAGAAGAAATAAGTTGACCAAGCCCAACATCTGAGAGACGGCATGCACCACTTAGGGATAAAGTGACTAGGTTAGGCAAGCAATTTGATGACTGAGCTAAAGTAGAATGCAATATATAATCTGGCATACAGCGCCCACACTGATCAAGTTGTAGCACCTGATTTTCACCAGAGAGTAAAAAAGTTTCAGATCACAAGACAAGAAGCTGGAAGTCTACACTCAATGAACAACGAACTTCCATATTACTGATAAACAACAGAAATAGCTTTCATTGAGTAATTAATCCTTTTATAAAACATTAATGCTGGTTGCTAAGCTACGTTTATCAGGATATCACTGGAAACATGAGAAAACATGTTTGCTGTCCCTCTGCTCCCATATAACAGAATCACGAATACCATATGAAGTAGACTTTCAGCACCAATAATTTCCCACATCCTTGTGGCAGCAGAATTGGCACTGAAAACTCTAATGTAGGAACTATGGTCAGTTCAACATTCTCTACATTCAGATGTGAATGTGATCATAACAAATCAATTGCTCGCTCTCTCACCGCTCCCAGTTAACAGGAGTGACACCGTCGATACTATAAGAAGCAAGACTCTAATTATTCAGCATAAAAGCTCAGTTCAGTTAAATGAGCATCACAATACAATAAGAGCAGAGTATTCTCATCTTCTACCTATGAACCATAATTGCATTCATACATAGCAAGCTTGTCTATTGACTCAGACTAAGCATTTCAAATTCACCTGATATATCACACACGCACCAGATACAAATGAATGTTATATATGAAAAACTGAAGCTCAACCAAAAATAAGAGAACGTACTGATAAATTGACGGTGTTGCACTGCTGAAAAGATTTTGTAAACTGCTCCTCAGTCATCCATGAGCAATCCCGTAACCGAACCTCTGTTGGAGATCCCTGAACAAGAAGTTCGAATAGATGACTGTTCATTTTTCGAGAATCACAAAGCATCTGACTTAGCCGGTGCCTCAAAGCATCTGCCACATGGTCAAGTGAAACAATTGCATCAGCATTCTTAGCAAGAACCAACAAACATAGATCTTGCAGTGAGGGAACCGAAATTTTTGGGAGGGGACGGTCTGGAAACTTCTTAGGAACCCAATTCACTGATGGTGGCTTGGTCTTGTCTTTATAGTGCACTTGCACATCTTTTTCTGCTCGATCCTTAATAATTTTGATGGCCGTAGAGAAGGGACCAGGCCAATCTTCGATGTCCTGTGGCACTTCAGCATCAGGAGGCAAATGATTCACCTGTTCCTCTTCAGCAGAAAAATATGCAAATCGAGACGCATTTCGCCTAGCTATTTCTCGAAACCGCTCCATGTATACGTTTCCATCTGATACATTCTCTCTTGTATTACTGTTACTGTCATTTACCTGCGTCTGATCGTGCAATGCTACCTTCTCTCCAGTATGAATAGGAGCAGAAAACACATTGTCCACGGCTACATTCTCTCCTCCATCATTAGCATTCGATAAATCCGCTTCTCCAACCAATTTCCCCTTCCCTTTTTCTTTGCTGCTGTATCTCCTTCTGACCTTTCCTGTATCATTCTCGCTGGGAGTCACGCCATCTTCAAGATCTTCAATGGCTTCGCTCAACTTCTTCTTCCCTTTAGGACTACTACTCTTCAATACACTCTCACTTGCCCTCTCCTTGTCCGAATCCGAATCTGAATCCATCTCCACCACATCGACACCATTGACTGCAGAACGACTCTCCCCCAACTTTCTCTTCCCTCTCTCTCCTC